GTCTCAGCCACTGCCAAGCACTGACACACACATGCCAGCCATACTTCCAGGCGGGGGGGCCCCACAGTCAGGAACCACGTGGGTCCTAAGTCACCACACCTGGCTGCTCGATAGCATGTCAAGTGGGGACAGAAGGATTTTCCCCAGTAAGAGAAGCCTGCTGCTGGAGCCCCCGCGTGCAGACCCTCGGGCGTCCCACCCCTCTGGTTGGGGCCCCGTGTGTTATCTCACAGCTGTGCAGTGCCATCAGGACCAGGATGAATCAGGGCGGTGGCGGGGGGAGGACAGGGGAGGCAGGTGCGGGCACGGTCCATGCCTGCCTGTAATTACCAAGGCCGCAGGCTGCAGACAGTAGCGGAGCACTAACATCCCACTGGGCACCTGGCACAGGGTTTCCAGTGGGCAAAGGCCTGCACCATAATGAGGACAGCCTCCCCACCCCGAGGCCTCAAGAGAAACTTGAGCACACTGTGGGCACACTGGCCACACAGGATGGGCCCCGGCGCGGTACATGTAAAGGCTGAGAAAAGAATGCAGGCAGGCATCCAGTCGGTGGCCCAGAACACCCCCACCAGATCGCTGCTCAGGCATGGCTACCCTTGGGGAGCAACACCCATCCCAGAAGCCGTGCAAGAACATGGGGGGACCAGCAAGCGACAAGGACAGCCCCATCTGCCAACCCTCCATCCTATGCAGGGCTCCCCTGAGCAGGACCTACATCTGCAAACTGGGGGTGGGAAGTGCCAGGTGGGCCTGGGGCTCCCTGCCGGCCTGCCTCCCTGCTGAGGAGGGGACAAGGTCCTCTGCTCAGCGGCCAGTCCTCCCCTGAAAGGCCCCCGAACCTGGGCAGCCCAGCCTGCACCACCTGTGCTGGGGAGGGAGGGAGGGAGGCAGGCAGAAGGACCTCTCGGCTCTCAGTGAGCTTTAAGAATCTAAAACAAGGTGGCAACAACAAGCACGCACACGGCTTCTACGGCAGCCCCCACTGACGCCCTGAGAGCCCTGGGCTAGCACCCAGAGCCTCAAGTGCACATGGTCTGTCCCATGAGAAAAGGAGCCTCCCCAGCAAAAGACACATTCTCCAGGCAAGACCAGTGGGGATGGCAGAGCAGGTAAAGCACTCCTGGCCTGTGAGGAACTCTGCAGCGCCACCACGCCCCGGGCCCCGCCCTTTACGGCCATTAGCAAACACAGGCAAGGTCCAGCAGCAAGGGTCCTGTGTCGAGGGGCCCACAACCTCAGGACCGTGACCTGGGCACAAAGAGCTGCTGAAGCCTGTGGCCCAGAATCAGTGCAACAGAGAAAATATCCTTCGCTGCCTGGGCTACTCCACAGGAGATGGAGATGCGCTGCTGCTGCTGCCACGCGGGTGGTGGGGAGTGGGCTTCATACTCCATGAAGGACGACTCAAGAGTCTACTCGGACAGCAAGCCCCACATCTTATGGGAAGATGCTACCCCAACAGGGCACCCCTGAGGTGCCTCTATAGCAAAACGAAGTCCCACGTGCATGCACACACATATGCACACATACTCACATGGACACAGAGTGCTTGTGAATACACAAACACATACATGCATGGGCCTGAACTACACCTGTCTGCACGGACAACATATGCACGCATGCTCCTGTGCACATAAGCACACACACAGCCTCAGGTCTGCTGCCAGCAGGCGTTTCTGTTGCTAAGGAAGCGCCTGTCAGAGCATCCACTTCACCACCCTCAACCACGAGCCTATGGAGCCCTGTCCATGCTGGGTGCCAGGCTCTTGACAGTGGTCAAGAGTTCCGTGTGACTGCCGAGCAGTGGAAGGGGTTCTGGGGGAGGTAGCAGAGAACTTGGGGCCTCCTGCTTCCCTCTGCTTCTCTAAACACCTGGAGGAGGGTGACGGGCAAGGCCTGGCCAGCAGTGGGCTCTTGCCTACACAGGTGGGCTCCCTTCTGCCAGCGCTGATGCCCATCGCCTTGCACCAGCAGTGGGAAACCTGATGGGACTCCGGTTGCAGGAACCCACTGGCCACAGCTGTCTTCACAGGACAGATGCAATAAGCTTCCCCACAACGGCCAGAGAGTGAGGACCACCAGACAGCCTCTGGTGACACAAGCCTAAGGCCCACAACACCCTGAACAGCCATGCCTGAGGCCTTCCTAGGGACTTTCCTCGCCAAAGCCTGTGCCCATCTTCCCACATCCTCGGGATAGGATGGAAGCCTGTGGGGCTCTTCCTCTACAAGGTGCCAGAGCCAGCCCCCTCCAAGGTCACCAGGTTGCCTGGAGCCAGGGTTTCTCATGAGACATAGGACCATGAAAAAACCACCAACCTGAGAGTCACTCCCTGGAGCTGAAGACTAAGATCAGTTGCTAAAGAAAGCCCTCTTGCTGCAGCACATGGGGACATTTGGAGGCCTCTCCCAAGAGAGATGCAATTTGGGCTTAATTCTCAGAGGCAGATCCCCACCCTGCAATTCTGTCCCTCGTCCCAGGCAATCACCTAGGGCTGCCTATAGTGCCATCACGAGGGGCCCAGCCCAGGCTCTACCCCAGGAAGCCCTCAGAGGGCTTCAGTCCCTGTCCCTTGGCCCAAGGTCCAAGGGTAAACTCTCAGTGAATGTCATTTCCTGCCCCTTCATCTTCCATAAAATTCCCCGAGGACACAGTGCCCACGGGAAGTGGGCCATGGGGAGAGAGATTAAATCCTGAGATTTGGATTCTTCCAGGGAGGAGAAGCAAAACTGGACATTTTATTCTCGTGTCTGTAATCAGCAAGGCCAAGGCTGTGTGTCCCCACTGTTCCCTTCTTTGCCAAGGCAAATAGCACTCAGAACTGCAGATGATACGACAGGGGCCAAAGCAAACAGCTGAGCTGTAGCTCGGGGTGACGCCAAGCAGGGCCACATCCCTGCCACTCTCCCACAAGTCACCAACCCAGGCACAGAGGCAGCAGCGTCCCCAGACAGGGTGGAGGACCAGCCAGACTGGCCGGGGTCTCCATACAGCAGCTTTGGCTGTGCCCTGAGCGTGCCTTGATTTGGCTGGATTCTGCCCAGCCGGTGTGCCAAACTTACCCAACCTGTCCCGGCTCTGCTGTGGAACCCGAGCTCCCCAGTGACGAGCCACAAATCGTAAGAGAGCCGCACCACAGCCGCAGAGTGGCCGGGGAACACCACGCACAAGCCCACCTGTTCACTGGCCCCGCGGCCTCAACCCACCAGGAGAGTGTGAGACACCCAGCACTGTGGACGCCCACTTCCCGATGTGTCTAACCTGAAAGTCCGCTGTCTCGGCCACACCTTCCCCTGGGAGCTCAGTCATCAGCTGACCGGTGAGCACAGAACGCAGACTAGCTTGCTGAACGTGTGCCCCAAACCCCCAAACACTCAGATCCTAATAGTTTTCTGCTGACAGATTTCACTCCAGACCTGCAAACCCGTCTGTGCTTCCTCCAAAAGCTGCTCCGCTGGAACAGCATGCCTGACTGCTCCCTTCTAAGAGTTTTTTTTTTTTTTTTCCTAAGAGTTTTATTAAGACCGACCATGGGGTTCCCCAGAGCAAAGCCACGCCATGCACTCCCTCTTAATTCTGGCCATTAAAGTTCCTGTTTCATGCTTTCGGAGCAGAAGCAGGGAGAAGAGGGGAAAAAACACCAACACTGGTACTTCTTTTCCACCCCCTGCAATAATGAGCAAGTCGAAACTAATGACTAATAATTTAATAAATCTCCCTCCCCTGACAACCATTTACAGAGCAACACGACCAAAAAGCGTATGCCACTGACTCTCCGAGATACAAACATAAAAAGCCCAGAGGCTGTTCCTTTTACGTGCTGCTTCCTCGTCAGTCTCCACTCCTGTTTACCAGCAGCTCCAACATGGCTTCAGAACTGACTTAGTCCACCCTGACCCGGCCTCCAGATTCTTCCAGGTGACCTAGCTGCAACTTTAAAAACCTTTATTACCAGCTGGGATTGACTGCGGCCGCGCTGGACTCCAGCTGAAAGCTAAGGGCCCATCAGAGGCCTCCCTCCGCGCGCAAAGAGGGCTTGGCAGGCCGCTGTCTAAGGAGGCACAGCATAGTTGTTTAACACAATTAGAAACTGTTGCTCTGCCAGCGCGCTGCAATCCCACTCCGCCGCCATGAACCAGCCGCCGCCGCCTAAACACCAACTCCAAAACCCCTCGGCCCTCCGCGTAACCCGCAGACACAGTTTTGAAACAGAGCCCGGCTTTGTACGAGGCCCGCGTGGACCGCCCAGGGCACGACTCTCCTGTGAGGAAATGCTGCCGGGAGCAGCCCTGAGCCTCCGGAGCCTGGCTCTGTGCTGGTGGGGGTGGGGGTCCAAACCGAGAAAATGGATGCGAGAAACGTAAACTCGGGTGTCTGCCAACGTGCACACCGGCGCAAAACCGGCCCCAGGCGGGGGCGGCGAGGGTCCGGCGGGCTGCCGGCGCTCCGACACACGCCCGCGTTCCGCACCGGGGGCTGAGAACCGACTCCTCACACATCAGAAGCAGAGGCGAGCGCGCCAGCCTCCCACACAATTAGTCTTCTCCCTCCGCGGTTACATAAGATGACGGATTATCTGTCTACCCATCGAACCTGCCCGCGCGCGACCTCCCACCCGGCCACATCCACCGAGAAGGAGTTGTGGAAAGGGAAAGCCTGTTGAGAAAAAAGTGCCCCAGGCTTGCGTAACCATGCCCGGCGGGGCCACCACGGGGCGCAGGGCGACGGGTAGCCGCGGCCCCGGACCCCCGCAGACCTCGGACTCCGCAGTCCGCGTCCGCGCCCCTACTCAACTCAGATCCGAAGGCTCCGGCCCCCGCGCACGCGGAAGACGCACTGAAGGGGGCGCGGGGGAAGCGAGAGGCTGTCGGGGCAAGCGGACCCGAGCCAATCTCTCCCGGGCTGGCGCTGGGTCCCCGCGGCAGCGCCGGTAAGACCACCGAGGGCCCAGGGACCGCTCCAGGAGGGCGCGAGGGCGCGTGTGGCGCGTAGCTCACCTTGTAGACATTTTCCGTGAGCCGGTGCATCTCCTCCGAGCGAGACAGTGACATGGTGCTGGTCCGGCTGCACCACTGACCAAAGCAGGGGCGCAAGTAGCGGCGACTGCGGACGCGACGAGGAAACCTAACAAACAGCGCACCGAGCGGGACCAGGAGCGCGGCACCCCTCCGGCGGCCTCCTTTATAGTCGACCAGGCCCCGCCCCCTAGAGGCCCCGCCTCCCGCGCGCCCGCCCCCGCCGCACCCGGATCACCACCCCCGGCCTGCCGCCCCCGCCCAGCCGCTGCTGCTAGGCAACCGACAGGCCCCGCCCCCGCGCCGCCTTTCCCATTGGTGAATCCCGGAGACGGGGGAAGGGGGCGGGGAAAAGGGCGGGGTTTGTGGGCCGGCAGCAGGGAGCGATTGGCCCGTGGCGCCGTCGATCGCGGGGGAGGAGGCGGAGGCGCGGCGCGGGCTGGGGCCCTGGGAACAGCCTGGGGGGCCCGGGCAACAGCAGTGCTGGGGGCGGGGAGGCGGAGGCGGGGTGGCGCAGGAAGAAGGGAGCAGAAACCGGGTGGGGGCGGGACGCCGGCCGCGAACGCGCGTGGGGGAGGCACTCCGCGAAGTGGCGAGTCAGGGTGGCCGGGTCCTGAGCGCCGCTCCCCCGAAAGCGGTCGGGATCAGGCGTCCGCACTGGGCAAGGGAGGTCCCTGAACGCTCGGCTACTTCCTGGGGAAGGGAGCGGGGGCAAAGGTAAGGACTTCGCGAAGGAGGGTGAGAAGCTGGCGTGCTGTCCCAAGGGTCCAGCCTCTACCGGGCACTTTCGGAGGTAAGTCCAGTGGGTGGCTGCGACCCTTGGGCCGGCTCTTCCGGGGAGGGAGGACCCTGAAACGGGTCTCAGGGGAGGGAGGACCCTGGGGACGACCCTAGAGAGGGGTGAACCCTGGGGGAAGACCCTGGGAGGGGTGCATCCTGAGGAGGGGACCCTTGGGGCTGGGATTCTGGGGAGGGGAGAGCCCTGGGTTGCAGAGAAGGACTCTGCGGAGAGGGGTTTTGGGGGTGTGGATTCTGGAAGGGGTGGAGGAACGACGGGGAGAGGATCCTGTAGTGAGGATTGAGGGGCGCTCAAGAGAAAGAGGACCCTCGTGATGGTGGCAGAAGATCTTCCTTGAGGGGTAGTTTCCTTGGGGAAAGGAGATTCAGGGAAGGGGAGGGGCAGGGAAGAGGGGGATAGGGGAGGGGGAAAACCTAGGGGAGGGTGAACCTTCCTGGATGGAAGAGATGGGATCAGAGATGCCTGAGTTTTGAAAGCAATTCCTGGGAGGTTCTGCTGAGGAGTTGACCAAGTTGGCACAGAGGGTTCCTGGTACAATTCATTTGGAGAAATATTTACATAAATTAGATTAACATAGAGAAATTATTTCCTTTACCTTGTAAAACACCAGATCTAAGTGTTTCTCTTTAATTAAACCTGACACTCTCCACCAGCACCACCAGCATCCCATCCCTGGACAGTCATCCCTTCAAGAGCAGGTGCCCAGGAGACAGAACCCCCAAGATGGCTGGAGGACTCCAGAAGACAGCAAGGGCTGAGACAGGTTTTTTCCATGGGGTCATTAACCAGAATGAACTATGCTCTGCTTCACATGGATTCAAAGAAAATGGAAGGGATATTCAGGAAGCATTTGCCTTCCCTCCTAACCTCAGAGCCTTCATTCACAGAGATTCTTCTTGGTTTAATTTCAACACCAGCCCCAGTTTCTTCCTTTTTATTGCTTGCAGTGTTTTAAGGTAGACTTCAGTGTAGTATGTAATTTCTGGGATTCTTTTGGTTGCAAGTAACAGAAAGCCGGCTCAAACTGGCTCCAACAACGAGGGCGTTGTTGACTCATGTGTCAGAAGTCAGGCCTGTCTTCCTCCCCCAGCTCCCTTTCCTCCAGGCCAGCTAGAGGCAGCTTCCATCCTTCCCACCCCAAGACTGACATCCATTGACCTGTTATGAGGTCACAGGCCAATGAGGAGCCAGGTGGGTATAGAGCAAGAGCTGTTGCTCATCCAAAGGGAGCAGAGTGACCAGGACAAGGACAGTGGTGGGTGGAGGCTGGCCAGTGAAAACAGGGTCTCATTGCTCTGGGAGGGGAACTAGCCTGAGGAGAATTCTCCGGGGCCGTCTGCTCCCATCGGTCATGAGACGGTAGAGGAAGGAGAGGGGCTTTCCAGAAAAGCTTCCGTGGCCCTGAGCCCCACCCTACCCCACCCCACCCCCTAGAAGATCCTAGTCTTGATCACCCTCTTTCTGCCCAACTGGACACTCACATTTGGTAGCAGCTGAGGCAGGAGGGCTAATCACCTCACTTGGGGCCTGCACCCTCCATCTGACATCTGGGCAGAAGGTGAACAGCTGGGAGGGAAGCCATCATTCAGGAGAGCGTTCACTGAGCACCTGGGGCAAGTGAAAATAAGCACATCCTGCCAAATGGCACTGAGAACGTGGGACCAACGGCAGATGCAGGGCAGGTCTGGAAAGGGGCTTACACCTGGGCCTAGAGAATGGCAGTGAGAGAGTCCGCCCCTTGCTGGGCAGCTCCCCGCCCCCCATCCTCCAACCACCAGTCTACTGGGGTGCGCGGTGCTGCATGCTGACACCTTCAGCTGCAAGGAGGTCTGAGCTGCAGGCCAGGAGCCCACCAGTGACCCCTGAGGCCTTTCTTACTTGGGTGGGAGCTCTTTCAGACGGCAGCAGTGTCTGAGTGGGGCTGAGCAGTACCCAGGGCTAGGGGTGGGCTGGGTGCTGAGGTGGTTCCAGTGCCACTCCTGGGAGTCAGAGGGGCCCGCTTAGGGTCAGGACCACCTCTCTTCAAGACCCGCAAGCCATTGCCATGATGGAGAGGCTCTGCTCATCCCACCAGCCCTGCAAGGACTAGCAGCAGGGCCAGCACCCCAAGCCCCCTGCCCTCACCCAAACCAGGGCATTGTTCTCCCTGCACTATTTGGGGGGCGGGCAGTGGCTTTCTATAGATGAGCAGCTCATCACGAGACACTGGGAAAGCAGATGAGCTAGAGCCTGCCCACTGCTGGTTTCCCTGTCACTTCTGACTGCCCGTCCTCACCTCTGTGGGCCAAGAGATCAGAGAAGTGTGTAGCCATGGCGACCCACAGCACCCCACCTCTGAGCCTGAGGTCCCCCCGTCCCTGGCACCGGTGATGGGGCCTCGCGCACACAGGGTGCCGAGCCAGGGTCAGCGGCAAGAATCTGACCACATGGTGCTGCCAACACTGACCCCGGGTCAGCTGACCCCAGCACGGGTGGCCCAGGAGAAAAAGGCTGGAAGCAGGGAGAATCAAAGTGCATCTCTTCATCAGCTTATTTTTAGTCGCGTTATGTAAGTGGCTTCATCTCAACGTCACGTAGGGAGGGGGGGGTCTCAGATTTAATTACAGGATGACAGCCTCTGCTTTTCAAGCAAGCTGTTCTCCTGGCAAGGCAGGCACAAGGATTTGTGAATTTTTGCTAAACAGAAGGAGCCCTTTCTGAGGTGACCGCAAAACTTTAAGGGTTTTCACCACCATCTCTCTCTCTCTGACCAGCCCAACCGGGTTTCTGCGGAGCTTGGCCTAAGGGGGTGGCAGTCTGTCTCAGATCACAGGGAAATTTCGTGCCTGTCAAGGGAGCTGTTTCTCCACCACCCCCTCCTGGCAGCCTCCCCGTCTCTCTAAGAGAAGGATCCACCCAATCAGAACTCCTCTTCCTTTTCTCCTTCCTGGATTAGAGCACTTGTGATCGGCAACCAGAAAGTTCCAGAGCAGGAGAGAGAGGAGGCACGGACACTGTCGCGTCTTCCCCATCCTCTCTGGCCATCACTGCCTCTTCCCTCCACAGCAGGTTCTGTGGGTGACTGGCCGGGGCAGGGCTACCGGGCCGAACTGTCCAAACTGCGTCCAGAGGACTGTTTCCTTGGTCCTCAGCCCACATTCTTCACACTGTTAGTGTTGTCAGCAAGAAGGCGTGGGGGTGCCTGGAGCTGGAAGCTCCAGAGGTAGGTGGTGAGGGAGGCCTGTGTCCTGCCAGCAGGAAGTTCACCTCAGCGGCCTCCAGCACACTGTGGCCTTGTACAGCTGAGGCAGGGCCACGTCGCCTGCCACGGGGTGAAGCCTAGCATCTACCTGGGGCTGCCGCTAAGGGCATGGGCACAGAGTTGGGAAGCCAGTACCCGGGACTGGGCCAGCAGCCACGTGACGGCCTTGGGATCCTGGGCAGTAGGTTCCAGATGGGCAGGCTACCTGCACAGGGTGTTGGAAGAGCTGAGGTATAGATGGCAGAAGTCTGGCATCGAGAACCATGCCTGGCACATGGCAAGTGGTCAGTGTGTCTTAGATATCATCATCATCAGTGGTCAGACAGGACCTTCCAGAGAGCACCTAAGTGCCCATGGGTGCTGCCCCCTCTAGTGGGTGCTCCAGGAGATACCCAGCCTCGGTGTGGGCTGCGAGGCGATTTCCAGGAAACACGGGTGCTGGGGAGACACTGACGAGCACGCCCAGCCAGGCGAATCAGGCCACATCTTCAGGGTGAGCCACGGGACCAGACGCAGCCTTGACGTGCTGAGAAAGGTGGTACTCCTCCACAGGCCCGTCATCCCGGGCTTTTCATGAGAAACATCACCAGTCTCAGCAGAGGGACAGTCTGCAGACCTCTGTTCAGCACATTCCTCAAACCAGGCAAGTCTGAGACCCTCAGGGCCAAGAGGAGCCCAGGAAGACGTGATGACCAAGTCACGTGGGATCTGGGTTGGGTACTGGGGCAGTAAGAAGACACTAGGTGAAAGCTAAGAAAACCTTAATAAAGTCCAGATTCTAGTGAACAACAGTGAGTCCACGGTTGTCTGTTAATTGTAGCAAACGCATCACAGCGACAAGAGATGTTAACAACAAGGCGGGGCAGGGGGGATCTCTTAGGTGTGAGCTATCTTTGCAGTTAACTGTAAATCTAAACAGTCCTAATGTGTAAAGCGGAGAAGGCAATGGCAACCCACTCCAGTACTCTTGCCTGGAAAATCTCATGGATGGAGGAGCCTGGTAGGCTGTAGTCCATGGGGTCGTGAAGAGTCGGACACGACTGAGTGACTTCACTTTCACTTTTCACTTTCATGCACTGGAGAAGAAATGGCAACCCACTCCAGTGTTCTTGCCTGGAGGATCCCAGGGAC